GGCGCGCGCCAGTCAACTTCCTCCCGCCCCCGGGGCCGGTCTGATTCCAGAAGCCGAGCAGCTCGCGCCCTTCGCGAGCCGCCGCACGCGCTCTCCACGCACTCCCTATCGCCTAGGGCCAGTTCAGCGGCAGCCGCCTCGTCTCCCCGCGCTCACCGCGATGCACACGCCCCCTGTCGGGAGGCTCCCTTCAACGCATGCCGTGTTTAACTGCAAGCGGGCAGCACCTTGCGCCGCAAACGGGAGGCTCCAAGTCGGTGCAAAACTGCAGGACCTGGAGCCAAAGCAACCTCTCTCCTTCCATGCAGAGGGAAATGTGTTTTGCATAGGGTGGGTGCCCACACGTGGAACCTACGAGAGCAGTTGTCATGCAACTGATTCCCCAGCTGCTTCTGCAGTGCTGAACGCCCTTATCTGGATACTTATGATATTTGTTTTCGGTTATGTTGAATTTGTTATTACACGGAAGCCTGTGCTTAATATCTATTGCCACAAATACGCCGACTCACTGGGCTGCAGCTTGTTGCAAGCTTGTCTCGATTGCCTCCCTATCATTAATACAGCTCTTTTAGCCCTAGAGAGCCCGATCTGCAAGGCACATGAAATCGTTGCTAGAGAAAAGGGGAAACCCCAGCTCTGCAAATGTACATGCAACAGCAAGCATTAATATTAAACCTAGTGACTATCACGTTCCATACCTCCACAAAATCTACTAAAAGCATTGCAGCGCAGGATGGAAGGAAAAGAGCAACTCAAATTATCAAGTGGAGCAAAGAACACATGGTGGTCACAAGTAACTATTCAATCATCCATTTGCAACCAATGGGGGGGGAACTATTTCATAGTTTATTCCTTCTATCTTATTCAAATGCATAAAGAGAATTCAGTTTTAATTGAGGAAATTAAAATGTTATATTAAAAGAGATGAGTCAACCTACCGGCCATGCAAACTGAAAAGGTATAACAATCCTGCCCACGTCCTGATTTCTGCCCTGATGAGAATATTTGTTGTTGTTCAAATAAAAAGTATTTCCACCGAGAACTGGGGTAGATCCGAATCCGTAGCTGCAAGGTCCAGTAGAAGTGATCTTGGCCTGATATTCCTTTAAACAAACTTTCACATAAGTATCACATTCATCCCGGGTACAGTTCAGGTTCTGGGGACTTTTCATGCCATCACAACATTCCCCATTCAACAATTCTCCGTTTACATTCTTCACCGAGTTAAACTGCAGCTCGAAATAGCCCGTGGATTGGGACACCTAAAAATAAAAATCAAAGGGGAGTCAACCTCATTACTATAGCGTCTTGGGAAAGTGCATAGAAGTTTGCAATCAGCCACTACAGGGTTTCCTCCCAAGCCTTCCAGCAAAGATATATAATTTTCTCTACTATAAAATAATACAGCTAGAACTGTATAGATGTTACTGCAGCAATAAAAAAAAGCTGCACCAACTAACTGCACTGCAAAAGAATTGGACATAGATTTTAAAATCCCTCTAGGCTGAATACATTCTTGATAAAGGTATGAAGAGGCGATGTATTCAAAAGTGAGCACCCAACTCCTGAAATACCACAGTAATTATGAGCTCTGCAAATGCAGCCTTCGATTTCATACAGAACCACTTAAAATAAATGGGTGTGAAGGAAATGTAGCTGCAAGTTATATATGCTCTCCTAACACAGCATATTGATTTCGTCCCTCCCCCCTCGCTTAAACCCACGGATCTAATGCCATGAACGACTGAAAGGCTACAGAGACAGAAAGAAGCCATGGCAACCCCCACAATGAGATCAGGGCTTTAGGTCTACGAGCCATGCCCCACAAGGGGCAATGCTAAAAGGCAGTCACACCTGCCTACGAAATTAATTGCAACCCCCCTCCCCTCCACCGCACCCCATTTTATGGGCGAGGGGTACCCCCTTCGAAGAGGGAAGCCTTCTGCTGCACCCCCTCCCCCGAGGCATTTCCCCACCACTTCGCAACCGCCAGTTTCTTACCTGCACCCACAAAGTTAGGAGCAGCACCAGGCTCAGTACTGCTGTGAGGGGAGCCCAGTGCCGCCTGCTAGAACCCAGCATGCCTGCTGCTCCGAGCCGATCAGAGACGGGGGAGCCCAGCCATGGACCGGCCGCGGCTCGAAGCATCGACGGCGACTATCTTTACATGCACACGGCGGAGGAGGCTCCTCTGCGTGATCTGCCGCCCAGGGAGCTTTTCCCAACGCCCCGAAGGTGCAGGGCAGGGGCTGTCAGGGCGGACCGCCTAGAGCCGCAGCTGCGCTGGTCCGCAGGCAGCTCCGCTCGCTCTCTGCGCGCCCGCACTGCACGAACACCCAACAAGTAGGTGCCAGAGTGACAGCTCCATTACCCATTAGTCACCGGCGCCTCAGCCTTCATATTAATGAGGGGGACGGGCCCAACCCCGGAGTAGGCGGGTGTGGCCACGCGGCGCTGCTCCTGTTCTTAAAGGGCTGGGGAACAGGGAGCCTGGCACACCCTGGGGGCGTGCGCGCTAGCCCCAGAGCCTGGGCGGGAGGGTTGCATGCACACTAGCTGCAGCTACTAGGCGGGTGCGCTGTGCGCACCGCTTCTCGGGCGTACACATGCAGCCATCTAAGCGCGGGGGTGCCCTGTAGCCTGGGAGAGTTGCGCCGTCAATCGTTCGTCGGGTGTGCCTGGGGGTGGACAGCTTTACTGGACCTTCATCAGCCCAGAGCAAACTGAGAGGCAGTGCTGCGGCAGAAGCAAAGGCGAGGGCTAATGCACCCGTTGGAGCCCAGACCTCTTCCCTTCCCTGCTGGCTCCATCTGCTGCTGGGAAGCGGAAGGGTAGAGAAAGTTCGGCGGGTTGGGCGTCGTCCCTTTTTCTCCCGTGCACCTTTAGCTAACGAGACATGTGATGTCCCCCTCTGGCTGGTGAAAAGGAAAATGCATTTTCCTGTCTTGCCATCCAAGGGGCCCTGGGAAGGAGGGGAAAGATGGACACTACTCTCCTGCCACGTTTCCCGCAAGCTGGCTGCTCTGCTCCCTATCTACGAGCCTCCTCCCTGCTGAAAGGGGCGTCTCCAACTTCTGCTCCTCCACAGCCGCCACTTTTATGGTCGTCCACCTTTCTGAATGGCCACAGTCCCTGCTGCTGCCCACAGCTCTCCCAAAGCAGCAGCCCCCGCAGTGTGAAATTGACAAGAATCTTGCCGTTTTCCTGCCCTTCACATGGTGCCGAATAGTACCGACCGAACTGAGCAGAATTTTGTTAATTTCACTCTCCTTCCGTTTGAGAAATCTCAGAACAGCAAAGGCAATTCCGTTGCCTGTGCAACCTGAATTTGCCTCCCTTACGCCTATGCAGCATGGAACAGTCTTAATTGCAGGATCGCTTTTTCCACGGGAACCCCTCTTTATTGTGCACATGCTGCAGATCTGCTCTGGAGATGAATCAGAGTGTCGGAGGAAAGGAAGCAAAATGCAGGACAATGTAGCACTTTAAAGACTAACAAGATGGTTTATTAGATGATGAGCTTTCGTGGGCCAGACCCACTTCCTCAGATCAAATAGTGAAAGGAGACACTTGTCAGTAGGATCCTACTTCATGCGTTGTGCAGAAGTTCTGAAAGTGTTTAGTGAATGAGTCAGAGGTCTGTAGGAAAAGAAGGGAGAGTCTCATTCTTACAACAGTTGAATGCTGCCCTGGAGAACTGGATTCTATTCCTGCCTGCAGCACAGATTTCCTGTAATGCTTGGCAAGTCTCTTCAGCCATATCTGTCTGACAGGTAGTCACTAATTGTG